AATGGGATAAGGTTTAAATTCATTTGGTATTGTTTACTTGAATTTTCTCATACGTGTTTCATCTAGTTTGAGACTCGTCAGCTAATGGCTATCAGGACTCAATAGATAAGTGGATAATGTGATTGTGTTTTAAGCGAATGGTATTGAGATCGATTTTCCGAGTGAACATCAACTCTGAGATGCAGGTAAATTCAAATGATGAGTTTGTTTTGACCGTTTGTTTATGATTGATTGCTTATTCAGATGGAAAACTCATGTTTTCATGAAGTAGGTCTAAGCACCTTGGCAGTATGACAGTCCACACACAAATCAAGTGACTTGTGACTTGAAGGATTAACAAAAAATATCATACTATGATTGAATATAAAACAGATTCTATGAATAGGCTGATGATTTTTGCGAATAATAAAACCACACTGAAGTTCCATGTTAATGAGTTACTTTAAGTTAAACCAATGAAACAAGATTTAATTTTATTAGTTGAGATATGAGTCAATTGAAGCTAAAACACCATGGAAAATCTGGAAGCAATGAATGGCTGTTACCTTCTAGTATGGGACTCTTCAGCAGTGCGTATCCATGATCCCACGAACCTATGATCTATCGGTCTCGCGCGTACAAACGCTTAATTTCTAGTCCACCATTATCTCCAATGTAAATAAGATTTTTCTACTATTAAGTAATGCATAAACTATTTCTCATATACTTAAATTACATAGCTTGAATAATTGTAGATTGTTTATAGCATATCAGAACCCTATTTCATAATCTAATCACTTTAGACATTTAATCATGAACCGGGAAATGTAAATATCAACCATAAACCACACTCAGAAACCAATGACAATCAGAAAGTAAAATGTTTCCCAGAAATAATAACAAATCGTTGTCACTTGTTATTGTTTACTTGAATCTTCTCATTGATATTTAGGACTGTAATTGATCAGTCTCTTATTGGTATACATGCATCCTATGTGGATTGCCTCGATATTGCCTTAATTCACAAGAATTATAAGCAGGACTTAGTATCTAAGTGGATAACGTGATTGTGATTGAAGCGAACGGTACTGGGTTCATGTCTCAGAGTGAAAGTCAACTCTGAGATGCAGGTAAATCCAAATGACGAGTCCCAAGAATGACGAAACACACGTCCTGGATTTCACATTGTGTTATCAAATTTTTATTGAGCGACAAATGTATCGTGAGACAAACCAGCAGCTTTTACAACATATGAAAATGAACAAAACTAAATACAAGTTCTCTTATTTACACATGAAATTTACTATGAAAATTAATTTTTAAATTACTGAGATACCTTATTCACTGTTCATTCATAGGATAAAATAAGTCAATCGTATTTTGTAAAGGAACCCCCCAATAATTTACAGTTGAATAAAATCCATTCGATAGTAAATTACTTTTAAAAAAAACAGTATTCGAGCACTAAAATTTATTGATCACTAGTGACTGGCTTCAAGTGGTATTCCCTGGAGTTCTAGTAGGAAGTAATGACCACTGGAATTCAACCGGGTCTGCTGTGAGATAGTAACTCACTGAAAATAATTGTAGATGTGTCGCTCAATTTCGTGGATTAGTTAAAGTTAGATATTAACACCGTCAGATGCCGGCCACCTCAGTGGTCTAGAGGTTAATCGTTCGCGTGCGAGACCGATAGATCCTGGATTAGAATCTCGCGAGATGGGATTGTGGATATGCACTGTTGAGGAGTCCCACACTAGGACGAAACGGTCATCAAGTGCTTCCAGGTTTCCCATGATGATCTAGCTTCAATTGACTCATGATCTTAACTATTGAAGTTATTGATTATCATTTAATTTGGTATAATATTCTACTTATTGAGCTAAAACAGAAGTACAAATCAATTATGAAACGGATACAGTCTAAATTATTATCATTACCTACAACATGATGTTAGTTACAAATTCTATCAGCTCCCTCCTGCCAAAAAACTCCGTTTTTGTATACTGATACATAGTAATGTTGATATTTTCAGTTGATGTTTGATGACCAGAGGGTTGTTATTATAAAAGAATAATGAGGTAATAAGTTCAGTAAAAATAGAAGTGAACAGCAAGTGGTTGAAAAGATCTTGGTAGAACTTTTGAAAGAATCACATAATTAATAGTGTAATAAGAAGAAGACAAAGAACAATGTGATATATTAGCGCAATACATTTCGAACAATCGGATTCCATATAGTATACTTGTTAAGTACAGTTATATATAAAACGATAAAAGGTCAATTACACTAGAAATGGGGGGATAAGAGGAGACAAGAATAATAAAGGAAATAATGTGAAAACAATTTACAACCTCATCACTCTGGATAATAAGCTAATATTACCATGATAGGTTTAAGATAAGAACAAACTGTTTTTGAATACACAGAGAGGGTTTGAAATTTCGTTTGTCTAAGATTTCAATAAACCTTAATATACACTCTTTTGCACTTTTGTACAACACTACAAAAGCACAGTTAAGATCAATCTTATGACCTGTTTCAATTATGTGTTTGACAATAGAGGATGATGGATGTTTATCATTTACTCTTATTGGGTCATTTGATTCTATTTGTTTCTGTAACCATATTCACACATCCTAATTTTAAGATCATGATTACTCCTCCCAATGTATATGTGACCAACTATACACACTGAAACATAACGTAATCGTTTTCTTATTTTTTAGGTTTTCAATGAAGCATCTTATTTTCAATTGATTAAGCATGTTAGAATTTTATTTGGTTATATTCTAGTGGAGATGTAAATAGTAAATTATATGCTTATCGGTATTCAATACCTAGATTGGATTGGATAGTTTCAAATAAATTGAGCATTAAGTAGAAATTTAATAATAACTAGACTATTTGTTGTATCCCAATGAATATGAAAATTGTATTTTTGACAATTCGTGAAGAAGTGACTTACATTAAGTCACAAAACATCAGTAATGCAATTTTTTTCTATTCATTGTAACAGTTATTGTATACTTCATTGTCAGGGAAGTCCTACTCACTACATTCTCGTGGCTAATGACAGAGGATGAAAAGCGAATATCCAGCGATTTAACCGGGTGGGTGGATATGGAGGATTCATAGATAGGAGTCGGAAAATCCTGATTCAAAACCAATGGTGCATATGAGCTCCTGAATCCTGAAGGACCAAATGGTGTATGAACTAATCATTGGTCACCATGGGATTGCATTTCCTGACATTGCTTCACTACCTTGTAGATCAAACCTTCAGGTCGAAGGTACCGGGTGTGGCTCCCTAAGAAAACCACCTGGTTTGGTGTGGGCACCTGGACAGTATCACAGCGCACACACAAATCAAGTGAGTTGTGTATTCGTTGCTTCGTTGTACCAATATTTATGTGTTCAAATAAATAATTAATTAATTAGATAAGAATTGAGGATTTAAGGACTGATTGAGATAGTAGTATCTATAGAAATCCTAAACTTATACTTATTTCCATTTTTCAACAATATGAACATTTTCATTAACACAAAAATACAATGTAGTTAACTTTGAGAAAAGTATTAAAAAATTCCTTTCTCCTAGAAAGTCTGACGTATATAATTGCATCAGAAGGGGTTTTGTAGATATCATAGTAATTTTAATAATTGAAATCATGAGTCATTTGAAGCTAGATCATCATGTAAAACCTGAAAGCACTGGATGGCCGTTTCGTCCTATTGTGGGACTCCTCAACAGTGTGCATCCACGATGCTGCCTCACCCATATGTAACTGTCTTTAGAAATACAAACAATTGAATTACCTATACATATATCTATGATTTTATATGTTGACAAAATATACTTCCCACTATTTGTATTGAAATTCATTTGGAAGTGACAATATTGAAGTTATCTTGATCTTTAGTACCGATTAAAACTCAAGTACTAGCGATAAATGTAGATTGTCATTAATCATAAGGATTAGAGATGTATTTATTTAACGTAACAGACGATTTCAATGTAAACGGTTTAGTAGCCTGATGTGTTCGCTTGTGGAGACGGGATCACCATTTTAGTGGCCCGTGATCTGACTCCAATTTGATCGTAATGATTGGTTGCTATCGTCTATCCTCGTATATAATCATTGACTTAAATCGCGTTAGTTAATAACAGAATTAAATAAGTCAAATAACGAGAATGGAGTTTTGAATGCATATATTTCGTATAATTGTTGATTCGACAAACGAATGGAGGAACGATGCGAAGATGAGAAAGCGAAGCTAAATTGGCGCGCGGTGAAGATGGCTGGTAAGCCAACACCCAGTTAACCAAGCGTTAATTAATATTTATAAGCACACAAAAATAAATTACAGACATGTGATGAGTAACGGGATAAGAAGTGTGCATACGCCTACGCGCTCATATACAGACAGTCAAGACATTGATAAGCGAATAATTAACAAGGTCAGAATGTGACTCAAATAGAATGAATAGAATGAGCTGTCCGAAAGTTAGAATAATGAGGTATTTGGGCTTAACATAATGACAGACACTACAACGGTATTGTAATTGAAGGATATTTTTTCTGACACAATTCTTAGTTAGTCTAACCAAGAAGGTTATCAGTATTATGGTCATAAATTAAAATAGATTAACCTTTAGCCAAATGAAATCTAACTACATATTCTAGAAAATAATTAACTTATAATGAATGTATCGTTCAATTTTGTAGATTAGTTGAAATTAGACATTAACACCGTTAGATGCTGGTCACCTCAATGGTCTATCGGTTAATCATTCATGAGTGCGAGACCAATAGATCCTAGGTTAAAATCTCGTGAAGCAGGATCATGGATGCATACTGTTGAAGAGTTTTACAATACGACAAAACAACCTTCTAATACTTCTAGGTTTTCAATGAAGATCTAATACCATTCGATTCATAAACTTAAAAATTATTTAAAAAACAAACAAACAAACAACAACAACAATGAAAAAAACAAACATATCGGTTACAACTTACCAACTTCCTGAATTGATACTACATACTGTAATCTTTATTCCAAATGGATAAATCAAATTAAATCCAAGATAGAATATAATAGAATGTATAATATAATGGAATATCATTTGAAAATAAATAGTTATATTAGATTATTATCGTTTTCAAGTTTATCTATTTATCTTTTATACATTCATATAGATAATATAATGACCATTTGTAGTTAGATACTATTGTCTATATAATTCTAATTAAACTCATTCATATATACATATGATTATATATGTAATTTATCTTGAATAAGATGTAATTTTGTTGCTAACCCAAATTTCGTTGAATCAAATTTATAAGCCAAGTTGTTGTTTTTTTTGGTAGGATGTACATGTTTGTTTGTTTATTTGTTTTTTTTTTGAGAGAGAAAGGGGGGGAGGGAGGGAGGGAGATGGACACAGAGAGAGAGAGAAAGAGAGAGAAAGAGAATAAAAAAGATCAACTTGTTTTTAATAAATTTTATTCAGTTTTACTTTTTTTAATATAAACATAAATTGTAAAAATTGTTCTACAAGTGAAATACAGATGTTCAATACAATTAAACGAAGGTGGCGGTGACGGTGACGGTGATGATGATGATGATGATGATTTGGTTAGGCGACAAAATGAAACTAGTTTAATAGATTTAATAAATATTATAATTAAACACTATAACCAGATGTGTCTTTTCTTGTGTAATTGACCATGTTATGTAACTTGGATTACAATAGTATTAATGCTACTACTACTACTACTACTACTAATAATAATAATAATAATAATAATAATAACCTTAATACATCAGAAATATATATATTGGAAAAACATATGGAAAAATATGTATAATATGAATCTGTATAAATATTCCTTTTGAATATATATTCAATCTTCTATAATAGAAGTTTAATTCAGAAAAGAAACTGTAATTATACTTACTTGCTTGTTGATTCTTTATATGTATCTATGTATCTTTTGTATGGTTGCTTATATTCTATTAAAACAAACGGTAAATGAATTTCTATTAGAATGTAATAAATACAACAAGAAATAATTCCATAATATAAATGATCAATTCACAACTAACTAAACATAAATAAACCAATCAAATAGGATGGGTATATATATATATATATATGTTTTTTTCTTTTTTCTTTTTCTTTTTTTTCTTTTTTTAATATTTTTTTCATGGTAACAAGAAATTTCTTTTTTTTAGTGTTTTCTTTTCGTATGTAGTTACATGTATTCATCATGTGTTGAAGGGTTAAAACAAAAAAAAAACACAACAAATTAGCTAACCAATCATATATGTAATCATATTCTATTGTATTATTTGTTCGTTTGTTTGTTTGTTTGTTTGTGTTGTAGGCGTTTTGTATTGTCTTTAACAAATAGTAATGATTCAAACAAAAACCATAGGAGATAAGATAGTGTATTATAAGTATGATAGAAAAAAATAGTCTCATTTAAGAGATTTTACTTTTTAAAGGTATCTTACTTACTTACTTACGCCTGTTACTCCAAATGGAGTATAGGCCGCCGACCAGCATTCTCCAACCAATTATGTCATGAGTCTTCCTTTATAGTTCTATCCAATTGTTGTTCATTTTTCTCAAATCTATCTCCATTTCTCGGCGTAATGTGTTCTTTGGCCATCTTCTCCTCCTTCGACCTTGAGGATTCCAAGTGAGGGATGTCTTGTGACGCAGTTCGGTGCTTTCCTCAATATGTGTTCTATCCAGTTCCAGCGATTCTTTCTGATTTCTTTCTCCACTGGAATCTGATTTGTTCTCTCCCATAGTAGGTTGTTGTTAATAATGTCCGGCCAACGGATCTGAAGTATTTTGCGCAAACAACTCTTAATAAACACTTGTGTCTTCTGGATGATATCTTTCGTAGTTTCCCAAGTTTTCACCCCATACAGTAGAACTATCTTGACATTTGTGTTGAAAATTATGACGTTGGTATTGGTTGACAGGAAGTTGTTTTAATTTGCACATGTTCTTCAGTTGTAGGTATGTCACTCTTGGTTTGCCGCTTGTCGCGTTCACATGTGCATCAGATCCACCGTGTGCATCAATGATACTGCCCAGACATGAAAAGGTTTCTTCATCTTCTTACACCTTCTCCGTCAAGTATGATTGCATTGGTGCATACTGTGTTGTATCGGAAAATCTTACTTTTAAAGGTATCTTATCTGTGATAAAATAGAATCTGATTTGAAAATTCACTTATTTTTGTAATGATAATAATTTTATTTTGAGTAGATTCAAGTCAAGACTGAAATTTTACTACTAGTAAGAAAGGTCTAATAAAGTATTATGGGTTATTCTTCTTATTATTATTTGAACACATAAATATTGGTACAAAGAAGCAACGAATACATATGGGCCACACAACTCACTTGATTTGTGTATGAGCAGTGATACTGCCCAGGTGCTCACACCGAAGTGAGTGGTTTCTTTAGTGGGCCACACCCGGAGCCTTCGACCTAAAGGTTTGATCCACAAGGCAGTAGAGCCTCGTAAGGAGACGCAACCCCGTGGAATCTTGTGATCAATAATTGGTTCATATACCATTTTCCTCAGGACTCTGGAACCGATATACACCATTGGTATTGAATCAGCGTTTTCCAACTCCCCTAGGTGGACCCTTCGTCTCCGCTAACCCGAATAAAATGCCAACTACTCTCAATTTCGTAAACAACACCCTCGTCACGAGGACGCAGTGAATAAGACTTCTGTGGGAGTGACCGTATTCGCGTGGCAATATGAAATCATTTCGAGTGGAAGAGCTCACTCACCCCACACTCGGCCGTACCATGTGGGGTCAGTATTATGGGTATAAATCCTAGTTAACATTTACTTACCAAATAATATGGGATAATTAATCAGGTAGGCTTTTTATAAAGATGAGCTGAATTTGAAAATACCGCTTACCACAGACGTGCATCCATCTGAGGGTAAATAGGAATTAAAGAGCATTAAACAACTGTAATCAATTGAATAGTGTACATTCCATCAGTGATATGTGTTCACCTCAAACACGGTTCACCACCATTATGTAACACAAAACACTACAATCATAAGAGTTGAAAACTTGGAAACCTGGTTCATGTGTCCTGAAACCATTTGAAACCTTTGGGATTTATTTTCAAAAACATTCTAACAATTCACTTTTCACTGATGTTAATGACTTATCAGAATGGCTTGGCGACTATCTCGATAAAGTTATGATTATATCTAATCTAGTTTAGAAAAAACTATTCAACTACATAAATTACTTATTTCGAATACTCTATCTTTATAGGATTCAGTCGGCCTGTGAATCATTTAAACATCAGAAGTCGAAGCTATCAAAACTAAAAGGAAATAGATGTAACACATTTGAATGCAATAGATTCATCCCTCTTTATTCTCCTAACTAGCTTCAGCTCAATTAAATAACAACATAAAATAGAAAAATAACCTGATTGTAAATATCACCTTTCCTCGTACCTTTACACAACTCAAACTTAACTCACCTACTTAGATTTCATTCTCATATGCGAAAAACCTGACTTGGTAGTAACTACTAATTCATGTAAACTTATACATTCTTTAACTTATCATCAATAATATATTAATTCTTCCATTCAACGTCGCTTGTATTTATTTGGGTTGATAATTTAGAAACTTGTCAGAATTCAACTAAATTTATACCATTTCAAAATTACAAAAGTCTACTTGTTTGGTTTATGTGAAATCTTATATTTATACTTCTGAGATATGTTCAATGTTCACATCACACTGAAAATACTAGTACACATTCGATCAACAAGTTTGTGAGACACTGCTTTAATAATGAATGCGTTCGACTTCCTATCTACAAAGTTACAGGTTTGAATCCTATTCCACATCATTCGATTTAGGCAAACAAGTAGTATTGTTAATCCAGATTCGGGTAGCAAAGCTCGAAGCAACCTTTATTTACAAGATACCATGAACTGGTAAATGTACAACAAAGCGACCAGACGAAGAGACTTGTCGTCCACAGATATAGAAAACACATTTTTGTTAGGGTGTCTTAAATCAAGTTTTGCAGCCTAGAATGTTCTCTTAATTGCTATTGAAAACTATTCAATGAATCGACAGTGTGATCATTTCCAATTATCGATTAATATAAAGACGTTTCCTTAAATCTTCCCATTCCAAACTTCTTTTATGTCCTTCCCTACATAAAAGCTTATAAATGTTTTCCATCGTACTTCTGAGGAGATTAATTTCATCCATGACGCACTCCAAAGCACAGGTTTTATGTTTACGTTAACACACAGAGTGAGGTCCCTCACTCCGTAAATAGGAACCTATATGCATACGTGCATGACACTCCTTCTGACAACCATAGCAACGATTGCTATAGGTGTATGTGATATCTGAACAATGTGAGAGACCTGAAAGTTCGGTCAAATAGCTACGAAAATGAATAGAAACTACCTAATGGTGCTTAAGAAAAGTGAATGCATTCGCCTTCCACCTAAAAAGTTACAGGTTTAAATACTACTCCACTATCGTAACCAATGGTTGGAGACTCTTGGTGACATGGCTCAGAATCGATCACAATGGCGTCGGTGTATACACTCTTTGTCTTTAAAATCACTTCAAATCTTACTTTCTACGAACTAATTCTATCTTCCTGTACTATCTCCTTATACACACTCTTTGTTCTATATATTACCACCACTGAATTAACTACTCCTATGAATCCGGTGTTCATCTTGTTGTGCTAATGCGGTATGGCAACTTGGACCGATGCATATACGTGCCTGGTCCTACGTTGTAGCTAACTGACTGACTACTCCACTTCATTCGATTTAGGCAAACAGGTAGTATTGTTAATCCACATTCGAGTAGTAAAGGTCGAAGACACCAATATGAATCTGTGACTAGCAAACGAGTTCATCTAACTACATCCTAACTAGACTTGTTAATCTGAACACACTAATTTGAAACTCGATGAGAATTCATTGTGAAAACAAAATGCTTCATGAGTATAAAAGAAATATTTTTATGTGTTAACTTCTGAACTGAAAAACAATCAGTTTTACACGTTTCTTTTCAAA